CACACCACCACCACCACTACTACTACCACCTGTAGCCCTGTGTACCACTAATTATAGCCGCCACCACCATCACCACCACCACTACTACCACCATTGCTACTACCACTAACCACCACCAACCACTACCCACCCACCACCACCACCCACCCACCACCACCACCCACCCACCCCACCACCACTCACCCCACCCACCACCACCACCCACCCACCACCACCACCACCACTCACCACCAATCCCACCACCCACCAAACCAATCACCATCCTCCCACTCACCACCAACCACCCACCTACCAGCCACTACCACCTACCACCACTACCCACCCACCACACACTACCCACCTACCACCACTACCCACCCACCACCACCACCACCACCACCACTCACCACCAATCCCCACCACCCACCAAACCAATCACCCACCTCCCACTCCCACCACCACTCACCACCAACCACTACCACCACTCACCACCACTACCACCACTCACCACCACTACCACCACCTACCACCAGGCCACAGATCGACGAGCCAGCGAGCCTCAGATCGTTTTGTCTACATAACATCAGACAAAAGTGAGCTGATTGGAATGAAATAGTAATGTTGATTTGTCATGCATAGAGGGAACACTTGGACTACCATTACGATGTTCTTACAGACTACCGAAGAGAACTATGTTATTTATACCTGTATCAATACTTACCTCAGCAAATTACTGTTTTTGTGAGGTGAGATATTTTGCCATCACCTGTTCTCGTTACTGTACCCTGCGTGTCCTTGTTACTGTACCCTGCGTGTCCTTCTTACTGTACCCTTACCTGTCCTTGTTACTGTACCCTTACCGGTCCTTCTTACTGTAACCTTACCTGTTCTTGTTACTGTACCCTTACCTGTCCTTCTTACTGTACCCTTACCTGTTCTTGTTACTGTACCCTTACTTGTCCTTGTTACTCTACCCTTACCTGTCCTTGTTACTGTACCCTTACCTGTCGTTGTTACTGTACCCTTACCTGTCCTTCTTACTGTAACCTTACCTGTTCTTGTTACTGTACCCTTACCTGTCCTTGTTACTGTACCCTTACCTGTTCTTGTTACTGTACCCTTACTTGTCCTTGTTACTGTACCCTTACCTGTTCTTACCAATAACCTTACCTGTTCTTGTTACACAATACCTTACCTGTCCTTGTTACTGTGCCATACTGTCGTTACTGTACCCTTACCTGTCCTTCTTACTGTACCCTTACCTGTCCTTGTTACTGTACCCTTACCTGTCCTTGTTACTGTACCCTTACCTGTTCTTGTTACTGTACCCTTACCTGTCCTTGTTACTGTACCCTTACCTGTCCTTCTTACTGTACCCTTACCTGTTCTTGTTACTGTACCCTTACCTGTCCTTGTTACTGTACCCTTACCTGTCCTTGTTACTGTACCCTTACCTGTCCTTCTTACTGTACCCTTACCTGTCCTTCTTACTGTACCCTTACCTGTCCTTGTTACTCTACCCTTACCTGTCCTTGTTACTCTACCCTTACCTGTCCTTGTTACTGTACCCTTACCTGTCTTGTTACTGTACCCTTACCTGTCCTTGTTACTGTACCTTACCTGTTCTTGTTACTGTACCTTACCTGTCCTTGTTACTGTACCTTACTTGTCCTTGTTACTCTACCCTTACCTGTCCTTCTTACTGTAACCTTACCTGTTCTTGTTACTGTACCCTTACCTGTCCTTGTTACTGTACCCTTACCTGTTCTTGTTACTGTACCCTTACTTGTCCTTGTTACTGTACCCTTACCTGTTCTTGTTACTGTACCCTTACCTGTCCTTGTTACTGTACCCTTACCTGTTCTTGTTACTCATACCTGTTCTTTACTGTACCCTTACCTGTCCTTGTTACTGTACCTTACCTGTCCTTGTTACTGTACCCTTACTGTCCTTGTTCTGTCCCCTACCTGTCTTCCTTCCTCTTTACCCTTACCTGTTCTTGTTACATGCCTTACCTGTCCTTGTTACTGTACCCTTACTTGTCCTTGTTACTCTCTACCTGTCCTTCTTACTGTAACCCTTTCTTGTTACTTACCTATTCTTGTTACTGTACCCTTACTTGTCCTTGTTACACTCTTACCTGTCCTTGTTACTGTACTTTTATCTGTTCCTGTACCTTACCTGTCCTTTCACCCTACCTGTTCTTGTTCTGTTGCCCTACTTGTCCTTATTCTCTACCTTACCTGTTCTTGTTCTGTACCTTACCTGTCCTTGTTACTGTACCCTTACCTGTTCTTGTTTTACTTACCTTACCTGTCCTTGTTACTGTACCCTGTTCTTGTTACTGTACCCTTACCTGTCCTTATTACTTTACCACCTGTCCTTGTTACTGTACCCTTACCTGTCCTTTATTGCACCCTTACTGTCCTTCTTCTCACCTGTTCTTGTTACTGTCCTTACCTGTCCTTATTTACTGTACCCTTACACTGTTCTTGTTACTGTACCCTTACTTGTCATTTACTGTACCTGTCTTACTGTATCCTTACAATCTTGTTACTGTACCCTTACCTGTCCTTACTTTCCCTTACCTGTCTCATTTACTGTAACCTTTCCTGTCTTATTCCTCACCCCTTACCTGTCTCCTGTACTACCTCATTTACTCTCCTTTACATGTTACTCTCCTACCTGTCCTTGTTACTGTTACCCTTATGTCCTTGTTAATTCCTACCTTGTTACTGTCCTTACCTGTCCTTGTTACTGTACCCATACCTGTCCTTCTTACTGTCCCTTATCCTTGTTACTGTACCCTTACTTGTCCTTGTTACTCTACTTACCTGTCCTTGTTACTGTACCCTTACCTGTCCTTCTTACTGTACCTTACCTGTCCTTGTTACTGTACCCTTACCTGTCCTTGTTACTTACCTGTTGTTACTGTGCCCCTTACCTGTCCTTGTTACTGTACCCACTTGTCTCTTGTTACTCTACCCTTACCTGTCCTTCTTATGTAACCTTACCTGTTCTTGTTACTGTACCCTTACCTGTCCTTGTTACTGTACTTACCTGTTCTTGTTACTGTACCCTTACCTGTCCTTGTTACTGTGCCCTTATCTTTCTTGTTACTGTGCCCTTATCCTTGTCTATTGCCTACCTGTTCTACTGCATGCCCTTACCTGTCCTTGTTACTGTACCCTTACCTGTCCTTGTTACTGTGCCCTTACCTGTCCTTGTTACTGTACCCTTACCTGTTCTTGTTACTGTACCCTTACCTGTCCTTACTTCTACCTGTCTTTACTGCCCTTACCTGTCCTTGTTACTGTCCTACTTGTCCTTGTTACTCTACCCTTACCTGTCCTTCTTTACTTAACCTTATCTTTCTTGTTACTGTAACCTTACCTGTTCTTGTTACTGTACCCTTACTTGTCCTTGTTACTCTACCACCTGTCCTATTACTGTACCCTTATCTGTTTCTTGCTTAACCTTACCTGTCCTTTTACTGTCACTTACCTGTTCTCTACCCATACTTGTCCTTGTTACTCTCCCTACCTGTCCTTATTCCACCCTTACTGTCCTTCTTACTGTAACTTACCTCCTTTACTCCCTGCCCTTACCTGTCCTTGTTACTGTAACCTACTGCTTGTTACTGTACTTACCTGTCCTTATTCTGTACCTACCTGTCCTTGTTACTGTACCCTTACCTGTCCTTCTTACTGTAACCTTACCTGTCCTTCTTTACTGTACCCTTACCTGTCCTTGTTACTGTACCTTACCTGTCCTTGTTACTGTAACCTTACTTGTCCTTGTTACTGTACCCTTACCTGTCCTTGTTACTGTACCCTTACCTGTCCTTGTTACTGTCCCTTACTTGTGTTTACTCTACCATACCTGTCCTTGTACTGCACCTGTGTTTACCCTTACCTGTCCTTACTGTAACCTGTCTTTTACTGTACCCATACCTGTCCTTGTTACTGCCTACCTCTGTTACTGTCCTTGTCATGTTGCTGTGCCTTCAATTACTGCAACCTCATTCTGTTACTGTCCCTTCATATATTTGCTGTTAGCCCTTACCTGTCCTTGTTACTGTAACCCTTACCTGTCCTTCTTACTGTACCTTACCTGTCCTTCTTACTTACCATACCTGTCTTACTCTACCTGTCATGTTACTCTACCCTTACCTGTCCTTTATTCTTTCTCCTTATTGTCCTTGTTACTGTACCCTTACCTGTCCTTGTTACTGTACCCTTACCTGTCCTTGTTACTGTCCTTACCTGTCCTTCTTACTGTGCCCTTACCTGTCCTTATTCCCTACCTTGTTACTCTACCCTTACCTGTCCTTGTTACTGTACCATACACCCTGCCCTTACCTGTCATGTGCTGTGCCATACCTGTCCTTGTTACTGTGCCCTTACCTGTCCTTTCTATTGCATACCTGTCTTGTTACTGTACCCTTACCTGTCATTTACCTCTCCTTACGTGTACCATTCTTGTTACTGTTACATACCTGTCATGTTACTGCTACCCTTACCTGTTCTTGTTACTGTACCCTTACCTGTCCTTGTTACTGCTACCCTTACCTGTTCATGTTACTGTACCCTTACCTGTCCTTGTTACTGTGCCCTTACCTGTCCTTATTTACTCATGCCTGTTCTTGCACTGTACCCTTACCTGTCCTTATTACTGTACCTTACCTGTCCTTGTTACTGTTACCTTACTGTCCTTGTTCTGTACCCCTTACCTGTCTTACTTTCCTTACCTATCCTTCTTACCGTTCCTTACCTGTTCTTGTTACTGCCTTACCTGTCCTTGTTACTGTACCCTTACCTGTCCTTGTTACTCTCGTACCTGTCCCTTCTATGACCCCATTTACTAATAACCCACACTTGTTACTGTCCCTTACCTGTCCTTAGCATCTGCATACCATTCAAACGCAACTGTTACTGTGCCATACCTGTCCTTGTTACTGACCCTATACCTGTTCTTGTTCTGTTACCCTCTTGCTTATTCTATACCTTACCTGTCCTTCT